AATATTTTTAGGTATTTATATTATATATTATTTTTACTTTATCTTTTCACTAATTAGGTTATATAGTATAATGAGGGATAATGCAGCTAAAAACAATTATTTTTTAAAGTCCTTTTAATTAAATTATAAAAATCAGTATTCTAAGGACTTTAATAATAATATTAGATATATAAGTTATATTTTAAACCTTATTATATAGGATATTTTAAGAGATTATGTAGCCTCTAGGAAGTCTGATTTTTACCTTCCTAATTATATAGATAATCTTAAGACTTTAGCTTCTTTAGAAGCTATAGAAGGCGAATTTAATAGTAAGTCTTTTTTTATTATATAAATAATATATATATATATATATATTTTTTATAAATAATATTAGTATTTCTAGGTTTAATTAGCCGGGTTAGGCGGATTTCTGCTCTTATTAAGTATACTAGAGAAGTTTAAGCCCTTTTTAAAGGGAGGATTATAATTAGTAAGGAAAATGAATAGCTTCCTGGAAATTATAAAAAAACCCCAAATTCCATTAGGTAAATAACCTTTTTAACCTTTATTTTTTTTTATCTATATATTATATATATAACTTACTAAGTAATATTTTTTCAGATAATACTATAAGATAGAATTCTACGTTAATGATAATTAAAACTATCTTTTTATTAAAAGGACCTATTAATTATATAATAAGGAATACTAATTATAAAGAATATTTAAATATTAGTCTTTCTAAGGCTAATTAGGAATTATTAGGCTATTTAAAGAGTGATTTTTTACCATTTAAAAAGCCTATAATTAAGCTATAAGGAGAAGTATTTACTACTATATCCTTATACCTTCTTTATATTTCTAGCTACTTAAAGATCTGAAAAACCTTAAGTAAGACTTTAAGATTAAAGCTAGGCAGCCTGAAAAAATAAGTTTTTCTCCTACTTAATATAAGTTTATTTTTACTAATTAATATTTATTTTTTCTAGGAATTTCTATCTATTTATTCTTAAGCTATTTAGTAAGGGCTAAATAAATTAGAAAAGTATTTTCCTCTTCAGTTAACCTATACTAGTTTAAAAGACTATAAGTAGGTTATTTTTTCTATTTTATTATATGTATATATATATTTATATTTATATTTATATAGAATATATTAATATAAATTTATTAGGATTTTCTTAATACCTATTATTCTAGATCTTACTTTTAAGTTAGTCTATTTTCAAATTAATAGATTAATTTACTATTATTTTAATATTAAGAGGGATATCAAGGAGCTCTTTATTAAAGAATATAAACTATAAGTTATTTCCTATATTATATATTTAAATATGGTTTTTTATACCAATTTATATATATATATATATAGGGTTAAATTTACAGTTAAAAATTCCTATTAACCCTCTGATAGTTTAACTGATAGTTTAACTGATAAGTTATATGATTCTTATAGTTATATAAGGGAATCTAATAGAGACCCTAATTTTGACTTAGAATTATATCCTACTTATACTTTTACTTTTAAAGAATATAACTTATATTTTACTAAATAATGCTATAATCCCTTAGTAATTATATTTTATATATTTCTTCTCATATTATTTATACAAATTAATTTATAGAAGAAACCCTATAACTAGTGAGAAGAAAATTTATACTATTACCCTATGATTACTATATTAGCTAGATGCTATTTAGCTATTGCGGCTACTTCTGCCTTAATTAAAGGGGTATTTTCTACTTATACTAATATTATTATAAAAAACCGGTTATAAATTAGGCCAAATTTAATAAAGCAGCTTATTTTATTAAAGAGTTAGGAATTATAGGACCTTGATTCCTTAAATAAGGAATTAAATAATTATTTTAACTTAGAACAGGAGGAATTAGAAGAAAATATAGGTAAAAGTCAGGATATCCCTATTATAGGTAAAAGTGACTCTAATAGTCGATTTAAAGATTGGTTAAATAACCGATTAACTGATCTTAGTAGTAGCTTAAATCCCTTAAATTAGAAGCTTTTATTTCTTTATTTTAAGTAATTATATCTATATCTTTTTTATAAATTTATACTTTTTTTCCTTTTTTTACTTAATAAGTTTTCTATTATTAAGCAAGAATATATAACTTATAAAGTTAAGTAAGATCTATGTAATATAAGTTTCTATTCCTTTTAGTCCTGTAATGCCTTACTTATAAGCTATAATAAATAAGAAGTCTTTAAAGCTTAAATTAAGGCCTTTAGTAAAATTAAATTTCTAATCTTATTTCTAAATACCTTCTAAGGCAATAGAAAAAACTAATTTTAGGAATATATATAGTATTCTTATAATTATATAGTATAACGTACACGATAAGCATGCCGATCAAAAATCCCTTAACCTTACATATTATTATCTAATTAATTAATTCTTAACCAAATAATATATCTCAATCTAATAAAGAGGCTCAAATTATTCTTGCACTTCAGGCCTATCAGGCAGACCCAATATTAAGCCTGCGACGAGCTGCAATAGTCTATAACGTTAACTTCTCGACCCTTCATGCCCGACATAATGGCATCACTGCACGTTGCAATTAGGTTCTAAAGCAACGGAAACTAAGTAATCTAGAGGAATAGGTTATAGTCCAGTATATCCTTGACCTAGATTCACGAGGATTTCCTACCCGATATCGCGATATTGAAGAAATGGCGAATCGACTGCTTGCAGACTGCGATGCATTACCAGTTGGCAAGCGCTAGGCTATTAATTTTATTAAGCGGTAACTATAGCTTAAGATATGTTTTTAGAGGAAATATAACTATCAGAGGGCCTAATATGAAGATCTAACTACTATTCGCAATTGGTTTAGGCTTATAGAGAATATAATCGCTAAATACGGTATCCGATTAGATAATATCTGGAACTTTGATAAGACCGGCTTTATGATGGGCATGATATTAAGCGGTATAGTCGTCACTAGCTCGGAAAGGTATAGAAACCTAAAATCAGTCTAGCCTGGAAATCGGGAATAGGCTACTGTAATTTAAGCAATTAATGCAGAAGGCTACGCGATTAATCTATTTATCGTAGTTATAGGCGAATTTTACCTTTAGAACTGGTATAAAGAAAGCAACCTCCCGGCTACTTAGGTTATCGCCATAATTAAAAATGGCTAGATAAATAATAAGATAGGCCTTAACTGGCTAAAGTACTTTAATTAGGCTATAACTAACTGATTAACTGGTCCCTATTGCCTCCTGATCCTTAATAGTTATAAAAGTCACTAATTAGCCGATTTCTAGATATATTATAAGGAATATAATATTATTATACGCTATATGCCGCCTTATTTATTATATTTACTTTAGCCTCTTGATATCGGGTGCTTTAGGCCACTGAAAAAGGCATATAGTCAAGAAATAGAGCGATTAATCAGAAGGTTAATAACCCATATTGAGAAGACTGACTTCTTCCTGGCGTTTTATATCGCCTTCTAAGCTACTATAACCGAGAAGAATATTAAGGGAGGTTTTAGAGGAGCCGGGCTTGCTCCCTTTAAGCCAGAATATGTTATCTCGAAGCTTGATATGCAATTATGGACCCTAACGCCTGCCCAGGAGGTTACTGAACCTTTAACCCCTTGGACTTTAAGGACCCCAAAGATAATACTAGAGACCTAATCTCACTCTAAGTATCTACAAGGAAGAATCAGAAATCATAAGAGCAGCTCCCTTAAGTCAATAATTAAAGCTATAAAGTATTTTAAGAAAGGGCAGAGCATTCTTCTACATAAGATAGCCTTATAAGAGGATAAGATCCGAGAACTTCGTCAGACAAATGAGATACTTAACCGGCGGCGTAGGGCAAAAAGAACATGCCTACAGAGAAGAGGGAATATAACTATAGGGGAAGCCCAAGAGGTAATTAATCAGGTAGGTATAAATACGCAGATAGTAGCCGAATTATCAAGAAATGGTAGTCAAGGAAGGTCAGAGCGACCAGGTAGTTAGCATTGTGGTATATGCGGCAAGACCGGTCATAATGCAAGGACCTGTCAAGAGGTAATTAAAATCACCGAGGATAGAAATAGCAATTAGTTTAATTGGTTAGGTAGGTTATAGTGTTTTTATTGCGATTTATCTTAAGAAGGTTATGATTTGTGATCGGCATGCTTGTCTGATCGGCATGCTTATCGTGTACGTTATAGGTTATTTTACTGAGTATATATTTCTTATTAGGGCTATATCTAAGATATAAGACCTTTCTCTATATAAGCATTAACTAAAGTCCTCAGTAGATTTTACCCTTTAATCTTAATCTTAAGTACCTTTTAAGGCCTTTAAAAGTCTAAAGACTATATAAGTATATAATATATATATATATTAATAGTATAGTATTTTTATAGTCTTATATATACTTATAGTAGAGGCTATATATAAGAAATAAAATCTTTTTCTAGATAAATTTAAATTAAAGCTAGTAATAGAAAAGATAGTAAAGTTACCTTAAACTAGCATAGTTAAGATAGTAAAAGATATAAAAGTTATACTCTCTTAATTAATATTAAAAATACTATAGTTAAAATAAAATATTTTTTTAAATATAATATATATATAATAAGAAAACCTTGGTTTAAAATATAGTTTAAGATTTTAATATCTTAGTATAAGTTTAGCAATAGAATTTTAAGACGGCATATTATATAACTAGATTAATTCCTATAAAGCTTTACCTTTAGGTCAGCTTGCATTTTAACTTTCTATATCCCTAATATAATCCTATTAACCTTTAGTTAACCCTATATATAGCTTCTGCCACTTATAAGGCCTCCTCTGCGGATGCCTTTATTACTTTAGCTACCTTAGCGGCATCCTTTGCAATCTCGTCTTTAATCGAATTAATAATAGCGTTATTAAAGGCCTTATTAGTATAGGCTACCTGCAACCTAAGGCACTGATACTAGGCCCTGTGGCTACGGTCTGACCTGACTTCCTCGAGGAAGGTAACTTCGTCGTGAGAGATATTATCAGGCTATCTTATAAGCCTCTTCTCAAGGTCCCTTAGACGCTTAAGCTCCTGCTTAAGCCCTATTACTATCTGGCCTAGCTTGCGGGTCCGAAAACGCATTGCAAAGAGCAAGAGGAGCTTACAGCTAAAGGCAATCAGTCTGACAAGGCTATAGTAGTCGTCGTCATGCCAGGCCTCTCGGAAGCACCTAGCCTCGCGCCTTAGCCACTTTAGGTCCTTGCCGTTATCACTGAGCAAGATGGTGTCGATGGTGTCCTTTTCGCTGAGGAAATGGCCGTTAGAATAGTCGTAGATGCCACTGTGAAGGCTTCTTCTTCCAGAAACAGGCGGCATGGTGCTGTATTGGTTAGCTGTGTGACGCGGCTACGGATAGACCAGGGATCAACTGACTGCCAGCTTGGTATTTGGACGAGTTTGGAGGTGCTCGGTGGTGGGTTGCAGGAGGAAGAAGCTACTGTGCATACAGAGGCTTCTTTTATTGCCCTCATATTATAGAGTTTGGTCATTGCTGTATTATCTTATTGGGAAAGTTAATTATTAAGAGAAACTTAGGTTTAATATATTAGGTTTTTAATCTGCAGATATCCTCCAGTTTTAAATTTACGAGAAAACTTTAAGAAGACTCAGGCTTAGCATAGAGTATAGAGTTAAAAAAATATATATAATAAGAAAAATAATTTAATACAGTATATAGGTTAAAAAAAGGTAACTCTTATAATATCTCCCGCTCTAAGGGACTAGCCCCTTAGAATAGGAGTTGCATTTTTTTTTATAGATTATATGTTAAAATTCCTATAAAATAGCTTTTTTTCAATTTATATAAGTATAGTAAATAACTTATATATATAAATATATAGGTATTTTATTTATATTCTATTAATATCTATATTTTCTTAGTAATTAATAATAAATAAAGTATTTAAAAAATAATATATAGATTTATTTTTAATTAACTAGTGACTAGTCTAGTCTGACTAGACTAGTCACTAGTCAAGAATAAGTCACACTAGTCTGACTATAGTCAGACTAATTAGACACCCTGAGTATAGCCAAGAAATTAATAAATATTATTATAGTACAGCTAGTGCTATTTTATCTTAAAAAGTTAATATAACTTCAGATTATTATAACTTCCCTCGTAAAAACCTAAGATTTTAATAATAAAGGTATATAATAGAAATATTAGTAAGACTATAAGGCTTTATAATAAAAGATTTTAATAGAAGCTCTATATTAGAATAAATATATAATAAATCTTTAAAAATATAATATCCTTTCTTTATCTTTATCTAATAGAATAACTAGCTAAAATAATATATAAGTAATTAAATAAGTTATCTTATATTTAATTATTATATATAGTATACTAAGCTAACCTTAATTATAGCTAAGATACTATTATATTAGACTATTAAACTATATAATTGCCTTAATTAATAAGATTATAGTTATAAATTAATTATTAAGGCCTTTAACTATATAGGCAAGAGGACCTTTAATAGGCTATATAGCTTAGTAATTAGCTTAGAGTATATTATAATTAATAAGAACTGGCTAATCTTGGCAAAATATAAAATAGCACTAGCCATATTTAGCTATAGACTTCTAAGTCTATTTTCCCTTGGGATCCCTTTATATAATATTTAGGATATTATAGAGGAGGAAGACTTACTTATTATATATTATTATTAGCTAAGGTATAACCTCGCGGAGACTATACTCCTAGATAATCTAAGCTATCTGAAATAGTTAATAGAGGTAAGGATACTTGTTATAATGGTTATAACGTTTAATGACACCTAGTGAAGATAATAAGCGTTCCTATGAATGCTGCTATAGAGGCCTAATATACTGGGGAAACTCTACTAAAGTCGGAGTCTGTGTAGTAAAAAAAGTTATATATGCGCGAGAGAGTTTAGTGTGAAGTTAAATAAAATCAAGCGACGGCTTATATAATAGTCAATAGAATAAAGTCACATAACCGTCTCTATATTTATGCAATATCATCATAGTAATTTCAATAGTATTTCTAATAGGGGTAAGATTTATATATAAAAGGAAAGAATCCTTACTATAATTAATTAAAAGGTTTTTATTAATATTAAAGATATACAGGCCTACTAAGGCTATATTTACTTTTATTAAAGACTTATTCAAGACTTTAATAAAGTCATTAATTTACTTATAAGGCTAATTAAATATATTTAAACCTTCTTATAGAATAATAAGGCCTACGAGGCTTTTAGGTAGTTTTAATAAGCTATTTTTAATAAATTAATCTTGATAAATTTTAATCTAGCTTAAAAAAATAGATTAAAGAATAATACCTCAAACTTTGCCCTATGAGGATAAGCTAATTAATATAATAACCGAGGGAAATTTTATTATTTTATATTCTATCTTTATAAGTTATATACAGTAAAATTAAAATGCCCTATTTATAATATACAACTCTTAATAATCTTTAGCTACTTTAAAGAATTTCATTATTACCCGATAGGAAGTATTTATTTAGTTAAAGTATATAAAGACTATTAGATAATTATATACTTAACTATTGTATAAGAGTTTACTAATAATAAACTAGGTATATTACGTATCTATATAAGTATAATTATATTTTCGTTTATTAAAATGGATTAAGTAATAAAAAAGTTAATACTGTTAATAAAAGAGTAAACTGTAATATTAATATAATTAAAACTACGAAATAACTCCTAGAGAAAAAAGGATTAAGAGAATATAAGCTTATATAGTATACATATACTTTAAACCTTATCAGAGAAGAGAGAAAGGTCTCTGAGGATAATAAGTAAATAATCTAGAATAAGGTATTGTATAAATCTTACTTATAATATAGTTGCTAAGGTATTATGAAGACCTTAAAAAAACCATAAAATAAGGGATATAACCCTACTAAAAAATAAGCAAGAGATATTATTTAATAGTATAATGTATATATAAAAACTAAAATATAATAATAAAAGCTTTATAAGAACTTATAACTATTACTATTTATATAGTAACTATAGGATACTATTATAATAGAATTTATTATAAAATTACTGCTTTTAGAAAAACCTTTAAATAATAATCTATAGTTTCTAAATACTTAATTATAAAAGATACATACTATTTATTCTATTTTAGTTAATTCCCTATAAAAGATATGATAATAAGACTTTATTAAGCAGTCTATTATTACTAGTAATATATTTAATAAGCAATATAGATAGGCAAGTAATATTCTTTTCCCTCTTATATTTAACATTTTATCTAATCAATTAGTTCTTAATAACTAATAATATCAGAAGGTTTAATTAAAGCTAGAACCCTATTAGCCCTTGAAAATAACCTAAAATTAAATACCTAATGCGCTATAAAGATATATTAAATGTCTAAGCCTTAGTTATATTACTATTATAATAGTATTTAATTATAATATAATTTTATCCTAAGTTTATAAAAAGTATTTAACTAGTAAAAGGATATAATAGTCTAATTTATTATTAACCTATATTTATAAGGATTTCCTTTATAATTATAATTTATAGGAAATATAGCGAATTTATTATTTATTAATTATAATATATTACCTATTGCTATATATTAGACTTATAATCTTATTAAGTAATAATTAGATTTAAAATTTTATTTATTTAAAAGATATAATTACTAGAGAGCTAAATATAAAAATTTAATTATTACTTATAGCTAGTTTTAGCTCTTAGAGAATATAATTATAAAGTATAAAGTCTAATTAAATAGTATCTAGAACTTTAATAAGATTAGCTTTATAATAAGTATTATATAATATAGAATAGTTATTATAAGTATAAAGAAGTAAAAAAGACTAAAATTAATATAGCCTAGAAATTATAAATAGATTATTATAATTTAAGTAATTAATATTAAAAGTTAATTAATCTTACTATTTATTATTAGTATAGGCTAATACTATTCTCTTAATTAATATTAAGAATGTAATCTCCTTAATAATTAAGTTATTATAATAAATTAAAAAATAATTTAATTAGCTAAGTCTTAATTAATTAAAGTATTTTAATTAATTAATAGTTAAGTAATTAACTAGTTTCTATTACCTTTTAGTCCTTAATAATTATAAATACTATTATTTTATTAAATTTAAGAGATATTATAGAAATAATAAGATTATTACTTTTTATATATTTACTTATATTTCTTATTTACTTTAATCTCTTAATATTAAGTACTTTATAATACTTAAAAAGTCTTCTTATTAATAAATAGAATATTTAATTAAATATTTCATAATCAATATTTCTAAGATTAAATTCTTAAATGCCTTTTATATTACTTATTAAGCTATTTTATTAAAAGTAATATATAAGGAGTTTTTAAAGGGGCTAGGCTTATTCCCTTTAACCTAAATTATATTAGTCTAATGCTTAATATATAGCTATAGACTCTAATGCCTCCCAGGGAGCTAAACCTTTTTTTCCTTAGACTTTAAAAACCTTAATAATAATAAATAAGGCTTAGTCTTAGACTAAATACCTTAAGAGTTAAATTAAAAGGCATTATAATAGCTCTCTAGAGTTAATTATTAGTACGTTTTAATATCTTACTAAGGCAATAAAGAGAACTATATATAAGATTACCTTAATAAGAAATAAGCTTTAAAACCTTTAAGAAGGAAATAAAAAGCTAAGCTAGTGCTAAAGGTTAAAAAGAATTAAACTATAAAAAGGAAACCCTATAACTATATAAAAGGCATTATAAGTAATTGATTAAATACATATAGATATATAGGTATAGGTAGAAATATTAAGAAGTAGTAGTTAAGGAAGGTTAATTAGACTAGGTATTTAGCGCTATAGTATATATAATAAGACTAGGCATAATGCAAAAACCTATTAGGTAATTCTAGAGGCATCTAGGGAAAAGTATAGTAAGTAATTTTAATTAATTAGATATATTATAGTAGTCTTATTATCTAGATAATAACAAGTATATAGAAAAGTATATTACTTGCTTATCTGCATCGCTTGCTTATTAAATATATTAACTTTAATGTATTATAACTCTTATTATTAAAAGGTTAATTAATATAATTTCTTAGTATATGTTTAATTACTTATTTACCTAAGGATTAATTTATTTTAATTATATTAATAATAATTTCTACTGGTAAAGGCATTAAGTCTATTACTAGTAAGATTAATTATTGCTTATTAAAATATATTATTATTTTATTTACAGTTAGGTTTTTATTATATTAGTAGTTAACAAAATAACTTATATACTTTTAAGGTTTTAATAGTTAATATTAATAATTCTTTTATTTATAA